ATTATAATGTGATATAATATGATATACAACATAATATAATGTAGTATACAATATAGATTATAAATTATAAATTAAGTATACTATACAAATTACAATTTATTTTATAATCTATTATATAGTATATGTATATGTATATAATTTGTACAAAAATTATCGGAAAGTGTCTGCCGGCACAATGGTACGAGGTGCGCCCAGAGAAACCGGACTCACCCATTGACCCGGGTTTGAGTCCTCAATCTGGGAGCCTCTACCATTTTTTTGTGTTTTTATAAAACACGTAATCTCAGAATACGTGTTTTACATTAAAAAAACACGCACGGATTCTGAGAATCCGTGTTTCGTTAAATATAAAAAAAAAAAAAACCGAACAGATCGTCACTGCAACAGAGAACAGAGCAGAGAAAGAGAGAAGAGAGCGAGAATTCGTATAACTGAGCGAGAGAAGGCCGATTTCTTCACCAAATTCGTCCAACAAGGTATCATATCTCTTCATTTTTTTATCTACTTCTCGATTTTAAGGATGAATTTAGGTATAAAAGATGTGTTTGTAGCAAAAACATGATGTTAGGGTTAACCTAGGGTTTTTTATATTTTGGATTTTTGCTCGAATTCATCAAATATGTACGAAATTTCTTCCATTTTCTTATGTTTTCGTGTTGTTAATGGCGATTTGAGGTAGGGATGGTGGATTCTTGGGATTATTTTGATATTTGGGCTAAGAACTCATTGAGGACTTTTGTCGAACACTTGTTGTGCGTGTCTCATTTGCCACAATTGCTCTCTTTTTCATGTGATTTTTCATTCTAATTGTTACGTATGAGAATGACAGTGATGTTTAGCATACCATGGAGTAATTTTTTGACCTTACTTGCTAATTGAAGGATATATGATTGTTGATTATGTTTGTTCGATATAATGACTTAAAGGGATTGTGTGTGTTGAATGATATTATGTTTGAAGGATATTATGTTTGAAGGATATATGATTATTGAAGGATATTATGATTATTGAAGGATATTATGATTATTGTGTGTGTTGAACTTTGATCGAACACCTCATGTGCGGTTCTCCCTTGCTTAAATTGCTCTCTTTTTCATGAGAGTTTTCATTTGATTTTTTTCAATCAACTTATAATACAATCTCGGTCATTTTTTTGCAGAAAATGGCATCCTCATCATCGAATCCTAGACCCTACACCCCACACCCCGGGCCGAATGACCCATCACTTCTATACCTTCAGACCCGCCACCGGTCCGATGCGGTATTTCATGACAGAGCGGTGCCCGGACATGGGAGGCGATCGAGAAGGCCGGCTTTGGGCCTTTATTTCGGATGGGGCGACTCCAAACAAACAATGCCCTAATTACATGCCTGATTGAGAGGTGGCGCCCGGAGACGCACACATTCCACTTCGACTTCGGGGAGGCCACTATTACGCTACAGGACGTTCAGATATTATTTGGCCTCCCCGCCAATGGAGATGCGATCTGGGGCAACACCATACATCGGTCTGCCCAGGAGTGGAGAGACTACTGCTTTTACTACCTAGGGTATTACCCGTATGTACAAGTATATTTTTTAGTTAAAACTTTTTTTTGCTTATTTTTTTTTAATTATTATTATGTTTATGTATACTTAAGTCATACGTCGTTTTTTATTTATTCTAAACGTATTTCAAGGATCGCGACGACCCGGCCTTCGACCCCACTCAGTGGGATATTTCTGGCCAGTACTTGTACTTCTCGAGTTTAGAGACAGAGTGCAAGCGACCTCTGAGGGATGGACTCGATACATCAGAGTACGAGAAGAGGGCGAGAGTCCTGATACTCTGGTGTATTGGATCCTTCTTCTTCCCCGACCATCGGGCCAACGGGGTCAACCTTTACTGGTTGTCCCTGTTGACTGACATCGAGGCCATACCGGGGTACAGCTGGGGTGCAGCGGTTTTGGCCGGGTTATATAGAGCGCTTTGCGAGGCCTACGAACCGAAGGAAAAATTTATCAAAGGCTGCGTGCAATTGATGCGGGTAACTTTAATTACTTGTTAATCGCAAATAATTTTATTTATTATAAATTACAATAATATGTGCTAAAAAATGTATATGTCCATATGTGCAGGTTTGGGCATGGGAACGCATCCCTCGGCTTAGCCCAACTATGAAGAGAACGCAGTTCGGCTCTCAGCCAGGTCTTCCCTTGGGTGCAAGGTAATAATAACCTTTAATTATATTTAACACTTGAGTTATTTCAATTATCAAATTTCTTAATTACAAATAGTTTTTTCTATGATTTTTAAGGTGGGTGGGATCGAAGGATATGCGACACCTGGTGACGGGCACGGCTGCTATTCGGGATCAGCTGATTAGCCTGAGGGAGACCGATGTAAGTTTTTTCCGTCAAAATAATAATTATTAATTTTTTAATTCTATTTTTTTTATAAATTCATTAATAATTCTATAATTATTTTTTACAGTTTATTTGGGTACCCTATCAGTCGTACATAGACGCTGATCAGCTCCCAGATCAGTGTACACGAGACCGAGGTATCTGGATGTACAGGGGGTTCATCTTCTGTTGGAATATCGCAGAACCCCACGAGCCTGATAGGGTGCTCCGCCAGTTTGGGTGTCACAAGCCCATCCCGCAGACGCCACTCATTACGAGTCTGGCCGATTGGGACGACCGCCACAAAGGCCAGGGCATGACTGGGAGGGCATACACCGATTGGGGGGCCTTCCATTCAAATCTTGGGAGGATCTGGACCGACGACAGAGATAATCATGTCCTCCCAGATGTACCCGTGGACTCCTTCCTGCAGCCGGCTGATGGGTACATTGAGTGGTATCGCCGTAGGACTGTGAACCTACTCAGTGACCCTACCAAGTACGCGGAGATCGCACGGGACGGGGGG